AGGGTCTTTTGCTACTAGCAAATGGAGTTTTTATCCAGGATTAGGTGGGGAACAAATTGGTAAAGAAAATGAGGAAAGGTCTGGGCACAGTGATGAAAATATAGGAGATATGGAAATAAGTAGGGGAATAAATAATTCGGATGATGAACAGAGCATTTCACCTCCTAAAAGTACCTCGTTGGGGAAACGTAAGAGTGAAGGGTGTACTAGTAAACTTAAAAAAACAAGAGTAGTAACATTGACTCTTGTATAGAGTTGTTGAAAATGTCTATTGAAACTAATTTTAAGCAAGGGAGTGGTAATAAGTATAAAGATGTTTCAGACGCTCTATACAATATTGAGGCTATTGTTCAACAAGGAGAAGGATTTATTTACCAATGTATGAATTTTCTTCATCATGGCGATAATGCAAATTTCTTCTTAGGTCTCCGAAGTGATGATCAGAAGATAATGTATTTGAAGACAGCATTTCAAGATCCAACATTGGGTGGTCCTTAATTAGGTTTTTTGGGGTGATGAGTATTTGAAGTTAACTTTGTCTTATGTTTTCCTATGACTTTTTTTGCACTTTCATATGTTCTTTGTTAGTTATTTGATGTTGTTCTAGTTTTAATTAAGGTTCCACATATGAAGCTACTATTTTTTCTGACCTTTAGGTTTAAGTAGCTTCATATGATGTTATTGCTTTTCAGGTGATCTAATTAAGAAGGTTTAGCCTTTATTTTAAAAGTCATTGTTGATTTTATTTTACAAATTGAATAATGTTGGTATTTTGTTGGTTTATGTTGTAGAATGGATAACACACTTTCAATGTGCTTGACAATTATCGCATTAGAAGAGCTAAAGAGACTTCTTACACCAATTGAGAGATTGCCTCTAAGGTTAGGTGGAGAATCTGGTAGCGAATACATAAACAGACTACTACATGCCCATCCTGATTTATGCAAAGAACAATTGAGATTAGATAGAAACACATTTGTGGATCTTGTTACTTGCATGAAAAATAAAAATTTATTATCGGATGGTCGTTACATATCTGTGGCTGAGCAATTAGGAATATTTTTATATATCATGGCTAAAGGCAGTTCTTATCGTGATGCTGCCGGTCGATTTCAGCACTCTATTGCAACAATTGGGTTGTACTTTAAACAAGTACTGGAAGCAATGGTTCATTTGTCTACCGAGATCATAAAATCATACCAAAGTTTGACCGTGGTGCCAAAAAAAATAGGTGACAGCACAAAATATTGGCCATATTTCAAGGTATTAAGAAACATTATTATTATCTTGCATTGTCATTATATTATTTTATGCATATGCAATATATAATCACTTATAAAATGTATCCTAAATGTTAATGAACTATTAGGATTGTGTTGGAGCATTGGATGGGACTCATATAAATGCAGTTGTAAGCGATGATGATGGTGTGGCACATCGAGGGCGTAAAGGAAAATAAAACATGGAATGTTTTGGCTGCCTGTTCCTTTGATAGGCTTTTCACGTTTATCAACGTTGGATTTGAAGGTAGTGCTCATGATATTACTGTATGGAACCATTGCTTAATTGTACCAGAATTTCGATTTCCCCATCCACCTCCAAGTATAATTTTAAATAGTGTATGTTTTTACTCCATACATGACACTATACTAATATGTTGTATAACTTTATTTTGTAACAGGAAAATATTATCTAATAGATTCTGGATATCCGAATACCGTTGGATATTTGAGTCCAATAAAAGAAAAAGATATTAGAACCCATTTGCCTGAATTTCGAAATGGTCTACCAACACAAGGCATGCTTGAACTTTTTAATTATCTTCACTCTTCACTTCAAACAACGATCGAGAGATGTTTTGGACAATTAAAAGGTCGATGGAAAATATTGACAATGATGCCACAAATGGACACTAAACATCAATTGGCAATTATGGTTGCTACATTCACACTTCACAATTTTATTCGATTACATGAGTTGGATATACCCATTGATAGTGGTATAGAAATCGAACCAAGAGCAGATTATGATTTGTTTAACGAGAATCGTAAAGCTGTAATGAAAGAAGTACAACTTAATGTAGCGAAGGAAATTTGGAACGTCTTGTAATGAAAATTATATTTGTAAACGTTTATGATTTGGAGCTTATAATGAAATTTTAATTATTATCGTTTATTGTTTGTGCTATTTAATAACATAGACAATGTTGCTAGTTCAAACAAACGATAAAATCAAATCCGATACATCATAAATCAATAATAATAATAATAATAATAATAATAATAATAATAATAATAATAATAATAATAATAATAATAATTTGATCTGAACTTATTTTTTCTGATATGATCTGATCTGATCTGAACTTATTTTTCCTGATCTGATCTGATCTGAACTTATTTTTCCTGATCTGAACTTATTTTTTCTGATCTGATCTGATCTGAACTTATTTTTTCTAATCTAATCTGATCTGAACTTATTTTTTTTGATCTGATCTGAACTTATTTTTCTGAAATAAGTAAAAATAAGGTGAACTAAACAGGGCCTAAGTATAATAGTAAGTAATAAGTATGTATTAGATGGTCTCATGGTCAAGCTCTTTTTCTCTTCCATCATATTATTATCATCATACTATACTATAAAATATATATGACCAACTTTTCGGTTGTACGTATATCATTTATCAGTAAGGCTCAAGTTTTAAGTTTGGCTTTAAAGAAAAACTATTCGTATTTATATTCCTCGCCGGAGAGGGAAGTAAGATTTTCCACGGTGGTGGACAGAGGTAGGATAATATATCAGAAAAAGAAATTGATGGCTTGTAGAGTTGTAGATCGACATACATGTAGTGGTGCTACACTGCTACCGTGCTAGCTTAGTAATGGATGACATTTCATTTGTTTACATATAATGACTTATAAGCCATAATGATTAATCAAATTATACAAAAACTTAACATATAGCAGCATGCTATGTCAAATGATGAATTCCATTTCAATCAATGAGGTATTGGCCTAGTGATTAAGATTAAGAGCCTGTGTATGATAGGTTATAGGTTTAAATCCCCCCACCCCCTTATATAATTTGTGGTGCCCTTGTAGCTCATTCGCATAAATAATAAAAATAATAATAAATTCGAGTCCAATAAATTTACGTTACCAAATTTTATATGATTTTGTAGATAAAAATGAATTGAGACTAGGTCGGTCCAAGATCGGACAGGATCGAAGATGACCGAAAAATTGAATTTCAAGAACCGAACACCGGACCGTTTAAGCTAGGACCAAACCCGGGCCAGAACGAAAAAATCGGTTCAAAATTCGGATCGCACCGTTTTGGACTGATTTTAGAATTTTCATTAAAAAAATTTCTAAATATTAAATAATTTATGGAAAACTCGTAAAAAGATAAAGGAAAAACAATATTTTGACATCTTTTTTTGTATGTTTAGTACAAAAAAGCTCATACGACTAAAGTTTCCAAACTTGTTAAGGATAATCTTAATCATTATTAAAGGTTTTATGTATAATTTTAAGCAAAAAACCAGTCCGGTCCAAGACCGATTTTTATAGGGTTTTGGACTGGAACGAACCGAAAACCGGAAAAATAAATTTCTCAATTCGAAGACCGGACCGATTAATTTGGTCCGGTCCGATCCATTTCTTAGGTCCAGACCACTTTTTGAACACCCCTAATTGAGATAGTGTATGTGTTTTATTCACCTGATTTCAGTTATCTGAACTTATCTTATTTGAATTAACCTGATGAACTTATTAAACTTTATTGCAGTCGTAATTTGAAATTGGATAACCCTTCTAAAAACTTATTTTTCTTGAACTTGTAACACCTGAAATAGGTAGAAATAAGATAAAAATATTGGTAAAATTAAGACCTATATCGAATCTTGATATGATATCATTTATCCTTTTATTTAATAATCTTTACATCAAGAAAATAAAGAAAATCATTAGACATTTAAATGATTGATATTTGTTAGTGTGAAACTGTGAATGAACACTAGGAAATAAAATCAAATGGTTTAAATAATTTTAAATTATAATAGGATTTATCGGCCAAGATATTAAGACAATAATGTATAATGATTTATTTCCTTATGTATTTGATTGTGTTGAGAAAAATCATATATTGCATATATATATCTGTTTTTTTTTTTCCTTACAAAAATGTGTTTTTGTCAATGATACTCTTACCAATTCTGTAGAATATTGTATTTTATAAAATATATCCTGGAGATATTCACACAAATAATTCCAAGATCTTTGTGCCTAATTGTAATTGGGCTGAAATCAATCTAATTATTGATATTATTATCAATTATAATTATTCCTACACACTGATTATCCTATTCAAACTTATCCGAATTCTAATAGTCTTAAAAATGAAACGATCTTTATGACTACAGAAATTTGAAGAAAATCTTTCTCTGTATTTAGATGTAAAAAAAAAAGGAAAAAAAGAAAAAAAGAAAAAAGAGTACAAGTGTATAAATAATTCACATGTAAGGAATGCTATGATAAGATCTAGTCACTCCAAAACCATGCAATTGAAGTAATAATGTCCCATTAAAAAAATCACTCCCTCCTTAATTAAATTACAAAATTAAATAATTATATTGTACTACTTGTATTAGACAATATGATTACTACCTTAGACTAGAAGTAATTATTCTTAATTAAGAAATAAAATTTATAATAAAAATCAACAACAATAAAATCTAAAAACTAACGTATGAAAACGGTTGTCGTCGTAGAAGTGTATTTATATATATTCACGTGTGTTTGTCAAACAAGATTTGTCGGTCAATCTTTATGATTAAATATTTTCGTACCAAAAATAAAAATTCAATCAATAAATAAAATAAAATCACACTACTCGTATAGTCGTATGTTATAAAAACAATAATAATGTTACTACAAATATAATCATAATTGAATATAATAATAATATTATATTACGTAGTATATAGTTTCCTATATATAAAGCAGACCCCTTTTAGGGGGATTTGGACAAAAAAAAAACATTCAAAGTCTAGTCTTTAATTTTCTCTCTCAACTTTCTCTCTCTCAGAAAAATGGAGTTAGCATTGAGTTTGGGAAACAGGGGTGTAGAGAGTAACAGTGTGGGTTACTGCATGGGATCATCAAGATTAACGGCTGAGAAAGAGGAAGATGATGATCAGAGAGAAATTAACGGTGGAAATTCATCGTCCTCGTCAGATCCATCAAGGCTTCAGCTTGATCTGCTACCTTTGTCACCTGTTCCGCGTTCTATTCAACCACCTCCTCCTCTTCGCTTTCCTTGGCTTACTGATAATTGTAATTTTTCTTCCCTTCCTTTTTTTTTTTTAATTTCTTTCTTTAGGATTTTTTACCTTGGTTTTTATTCATTTTTTAAAATCATTGTTGCCATTTTTTAAAAAAAAACCTTTGGATTCATTTGCATCATTTATACAAATTTCTGCAAATTTTTGATTAATTTCAAAGATTTTTTATTTTTTTAATAAAAAAAGCCAAAGTCAAAATAAGTAGAAATATTCACACCTAAAAAAACTTCATACAATATTTGTTTTTATTCTATTCTCCGTTCATCTATTATTAGTTACATCCGGACGTATAATACGGAGTAATAGAATCTAATTTTGTCTGCCTGATTTTCTTTGCTTTCTTCGTCTCTAAATATTCATCCTGTTTTGACTGCAATTTTTTTTTTTTTTATTATTTTTTTTTAAATTTTTTTACGGGATACAGGGTTTATTAATCACATATGCATAGGAGCATATATTTTTTTGTCCAAAAATTTCTCGGGAAAAAAAAAAATATTTCTATGGTTTTTGTATGCGTTTCCTATTAAATAAATGTTTTAAATCCTAATTCTTTAATTTTGCTATTTGTCAATTTCTTCTTTGGATACCCTTGAATTGAACCACAGTAAAACATTCAAGAAAAATAAATTACATAAGATATAAGAAAATTAAATAACAAGTTATTTATGAGAGTTGACTTGTATATATGCACTTGGTAAAGTTTTTAGTGGGTTTATGAATCGGTAATCCAAAAATTTTGACTTTTAACAAATTTATTTATTTTCATTCCGCAAAAAAAAAAAAAAAAAGAAAAATTTATTTATTTTCATGTGGGACACACAGTGAGTTCTGAACCGGGTTCATCAGACGGACCGGGATCAAAAATCATGGAACCGAACCGGCGGCCCGCGGTGGAGACTACACCGGAGGAAGTGGAGGAACAATCGTCTCCGAACAGCGGAACGTCGTCGTTCATGGAGTTTTCTCTATATACTAGTAATAGTAATAAGAGAGGAAATGAAAATAATAACAATAATTATGGTCAAGAAATGATAGGGGCAACAACGTCAAAGGGAAGTGATGATGAAGAGAATGGATCCACTCGGAAAAAGCTTAGGCTTTCTAAAGAACAATCGGCTTTTCTTGAAGAGAGCTTTAAAGAGCACCATACTTTGAACCCTGTAAGTCAATTTTTTGTCCTTCTCAATTCCGTTTTTATTTTAATTCGATTATAGGAAGAATTTTTAGAGATGGAGAAAGTACTCGTTCTGTGTCATGTAATCTACCAATAATAATTGGGTGTCTTTGTATTACACAAAAATAGTTTTTTTTTTTTTTTGAAAGAACACAAAAATAGTTTTAAAATTATTAATGAAGGTTTGGTCCTATGACCTATTGGAGCCTTTGCACCACTTAAATTGCATGCCTAGTATCATGAGAAGGTGGTATGAGTCCAAATAAATTTTTAATTTTTATTTATTTTGACCAAAAAAAAAAAAAAAAAAAAACATGGAGGTGGTGGTCCAAAATTCTCTACAATCAATAATTGTCAATTACTATATGTTGAAATTTGTGGATCATGCTTTATGGTACAAGCCTATCCTTTGTAATAATTAAGTTGCACCTCCTAGTTTACTTTCAAATTATACAATTTGTATTAGAATTTGTCAATACTTTTTATGTACTCTTTGCCATTTATTTAATTTGGTCAAAAAACATGCAAAGATTTCATTTAATAATGGTCGAGTGTGACATTTTAATATAAATTTATTAAGGTAGTACATACACAATCCTTTGTCTCACTGGTCTACGGGTTTCGTTAATCGTGGTATTGATTTTTAGTTTATTATTAATTATGGCCGCCCACAATAACATTATCGGTATAACATACTTTCTCTTGTTCTTTAATTATGCGTCTAGATAACACTTTTAATCGCGATCGTTATTTTCGCGGCAATTACCTATGTTTTTACAAATGTTACAAATGAATTGCAGAAGCAAAAACTTGCATTGGCTAAGCAACTCAATCTTCGGCCTCGTCAAGTGGAAGTTTGGTTTCAGAACAGACGAGCCAGGTATTTATTTTAACTTTTTAAAAAATATTTTCTTTTTTGGGTAATCCGATAATAATATGAAACATAATCCAACATTATTATTTTATCTAAAAAATGTCACTACAATTCGTCTTTTCTTGTTGTCTTATGTGAATGAAATCTAAAGATGCTACATCCAAAAAAATTTACAGTTATCTTCTGACCCAAAATGTTTTGAGGTTGAGATTAAATTTTTCATCCCAGTAATTTTACAACTCGTATTATTTTATAATTTTGTAAGTTGAACAGTGACACGTGTGATGAATCTTTATTACAAAGTAGGTTGCCAAAATCTAATCTTTATTAAATGTAGGCTGCCAAAATCTTTTTTTTACTGCTTGACCTGTTGAATAGAACGAAAAAGTAAAATAAAAGTCAATTTTTAGATTGTTCACATGCTTTCTCTTGGTTTTTGGTCTTTTTTTTCAATAATTTTATAGATAGAGTAGTTTTAATTAGGTTGCTATTATTTGAAATTATGTAGATGTACTCTTTTTTTTTTTTTTTTCTTTTTTTTTTTATTTAAGTTAGGGCTAGTAAAATTCTTACCTTGAAGGATTGAATGAAAATACTAATAAAATAGTTCTTCCGTTCTTTTTTATTTGACCCGCTTTGACTTTTACACTATTCACCATTTCTCCTTTGATCGTCTTTGACGAATAATATGTAAGGAAAAACATATTTATGTGGGATCTTTTTGAATTCGTCTTAATAAATACTATCATAATATATAACTTTTATAATTTTTACTTATGTCAAATTAAAGTTATTGATCGTTAAAGTTTTACATTGGCAATCGTCATAAAAAAAAACAGGTCAAGTAAAAAAAAAAGAGTAAGTATATATGATATTGAATGTAGAATAGTGTAATTCTCCTTAGTTGGAGTATTCTCATTAATCAATATATATAGGTATTTACAAACCTAATTATGAGAACCTTAATTACACAAAATATATCTTTACAGTATATTAATAAGATAATATTAACCTATTATCTATCATTGAACAAAAATTTCGATTCGTAATTATAGGATAGTACTTTTAAGGGTTTGACCTAATAGAGTCGTTTGAAGTCTTGAACACTAATTTGATCATACATAATTCAAATCAACTCAACCTATTTAAGTGGTCTAATTTGTTAGTACAAGTTGCTTTAAAAAAGAGTGTGCATTTAATTAAAATCTATAATGGGTAGAAATTGAAGTTTATCATGCATTTTTAACTTTTTAAGGGTTAAAAATAGGCAAAAGGTTGGTAATTGAGACTTTGGCATGCAAGATTTATATTTATATTTTATAAAATTTAATTTTTTGTAAGAAAAATAAATGATAAATAGCAAAGGAATTTACCAAAAGAAGAAAAACAATGAAAAACAGTAATGGTTTAACCAATGACATTTTGTTAAATAAATTAGTTAATTTTGAAAGTTTTATTCTTTAATGGTCAAAATACATTCTTCATCTACCAAAAGTCCATCATTGTTTTGTTTATGAATTTGCTTCAATGGCAATTATGAAACATAATATATAGGCCCTACATTTTCTTTTTTGGCCCATCCCAAAATAATTTCTTTTATCAAATTGCTGCTCATTTCTTTTTGTCCATGGGATTGATCACAAAAAAAATTAAGAGTAGTTATATAAAAAAAAAGGGTTATAAATACTTTGTACTAGTATATAATACGAGTGTATGTTATATTAAGAGTTGTATTTTTTTTTTTAATAAATTAAGAGTTGTATTAACATTAATAACGAATTATTTTATAAATATCAATTTTTTTGATATATGCAATTGAGTTGCATACAAACATTAAATATACTTGTATTATATAAAATACAAGTATTAATTAATTGAAAAATGTAATTCTTTTGTGTCATGTTGTTCTTTCCACTTTGACTAAATTTATCTCACAAACAATATGAAACTTTAAGGACTGTGTATCACTCCCTTGTAATGTACTGTAATAATAAAAATGTGTATAGGAGCGTTTTTATTTATTCAAAATTTATTCTACTACCTCCGTTAACAATTATTTGCAACGATTTGACATAAAGTAGAGAGGAAAAATGTCTAATCGTTGCAAATAACTGTTAACGGAGCTAGTAGTATATTTCTCCTATGGTATTTATGTCTGGTTGTAAGGTCAGATCATAAAGTATAGCTGTTGAAAGCAATCCTTTGTGTTATATTCATTGGGATATGATATGATTTACTCTTTACTTTATAATCAGATACAGTAGTCTATACATATTTATTTTCATACATTATTATTATTATTATAATCAAATTTTTTTTTAAAAAAAAAAAAAGCTGTTGGAATGAATGTGGGAATTAAAAATGACACAGGACGAAGCTGAAGCAGACAGAGGTAGATTGCGAGTATTTAAAGAGGTGCTGTGAGACGTTGACAGAAGAGAACAGGAGATTACAAAAGGAGCTTCAGGAATTAAGAGCCTTGAAAACTTCACAGCCTTTCTACATGCAACTTCCTGCTACTACTCTTACTATGTGCCCTTCTTGTGAGCGTGTGGCCCCTACTTCTACTACTACTACGTCCACCGCCACCGTCGCTGCTCCTGCTCCTGCCCCGGCTACCCCTACCTCCGTTGTTGCTAAGCCCACCACTGCTGTTACTGTCACGACTAATAGCACCACCGCTGCTTCGGGGGATAATACTAGTACTAATAATGGTGATGATAATAATGTTACTTTGTCTCTTGGTAAGCCTAAGGTGGCCATGTTGCCCTTTTCTAACGGTAAAGCTCATCAGGCTGCTTCATGAGATCTTGTAGTGGCTATTTTAAGCCTCTTTTTTTCATGTACAAAAAACGAGAGGGTTTTTTTTTTTTTTTTTTTTTTTTTTTTTTTTTTTTTTTCTATCTAGAAATGTTTTTTTGGTTGGATTCTTTTAAATTGTGATGATGATAGCTTCAATATTGTTTGTTGCTTGATTGGTTGGATTGTTAGTTTGTGACCTTGTAGAGAATTTTAGATGCTTTAAAGTTGAAAAAGAAAACAAAAGATTAGTGATATGACAAGGGTGTTCTTAGTCTTACAATATTAACTTTTATTAGGAAATTATATTATCCCTTGGAATTTTGGCTTTTTAGGGGTTTCTTCATCATGATGCTCCCTTTGTAATTTACTCATGATGTTATAGTTACTACGGAGTAATTTCAAATCAAGGCTTTCAGCTTTGGCTATTTTGAAAGCCTTTGAACGATTATGAGTACTAATTAACTACGGAGTAAAATATTAGTTTCGAGATGATTTAAAAATATTGTCTTATGAAAAAACACTAGCTTTGAGATGATTTAAAAATATTGCCTTGTGAAAAAACACTTTATTCGCGTACAAACTCTTAAATAGATTTGGTTCATACTAATTTATTGTGGACCACTAACATCATAGACATTATAGTTGTTTTATTAAAAAAAAAAGGGTCACTATATTAAAATAAAAGTTATGATGTTGAAATAAAAGCCATTTTGTCCACGCAAGTTTTTTTCCCTTTATTCGAATCATTTTGACTAAATGTACTTGCTTATTTCACGATAAAAATTATTATAATCTCGCACTAAATTATTTTCTATCATAAAAATTTACTTGCTTATTTAACGATAAAAATTAGAGATACTTTCAATAAGATTGGTCAAAGTTGGGTCTTTTTCCTTTCCAAACAAAATAAAAAAATAAAAAAAAAGAAAAAAAGGGATCTTTTTAGTTATATAAATTTTCCTAAATTTTGACATTGCTTAGTGATATCTCTTAGAGAATGAAAATAATTTTGTCATACTCTTGAATCGCCAATGTAAGGAGCATGAAGGAGGAAAAAAAATATTAGACATTGTTTTCACAAAAATTGGTGCTTAATAAGGCATGACTGCATGAGTAGATAGCTGAATGAGCAAATAGGTGTTTAAACATTCTTATCAATCATTTACTTCTATATATTAACACATAGTCACATACTATTACACTAATAATTTGTTATAAGAGTTACTCCTTACAGAACGATATAATGTAATTTACAGTAATATTGTATTTTGTATACACAATAAAACTAAAATTAGTGATTATTATTTTTATGTTTAGGAATATGTTGTCTTGATCTTAATATTGTCCTGTGTATCCATAGTACAGTAAATACTTGTAGGATTTTATAATCTCTTCAAATATATTAAAATTTTAAAATCTTACTAATTGTAATTGATACTCACTCTATCCCTATCTTATAGTCACATATGACTTTTGACGGTCTCCAAGACTTATGTTAAAACGTTTATATTTCCATTTTCATACGCGTAAAAATTATATAAAAAAATTGATATTAACAAAATATACATTGAGACGAATTAAACAAAATCTCATTTGACTATATTACCTCTTGTAGAATAACAATAATTAATGGTCAAAGTTTTTAAAGTTTGACCCAAACTTTGACAATGGGGCAAAAAAAAGGACGGAGAGAGTACTAAACAATTAGTATTATTATCTGTATTTCTTATCGGCTGAGATTTAAAATGTAACCAAAGTACAAAAAATTAACATTGTTGTGGAAAATGGGTTTTAAATATCCACAACCTTCAAACATTTTTTATTTATTTTTAATAAGTGAAGATAAATTTCAAATAAAATAAGCTTATGACAATGTAAGTAAAATAAAAGAGAGTTAAAGGCTTTGTTTAGTTTAACTTGTTTCTAAGGAGTCATTTGGATGATAAAATATAATGGAAAGGTGAAGAACTGTGGGAATTAGTATCTTACATATTTGTTTGGTTAGTACAAAAGGCAAAAATGGAGGAAGCTAAGTGGAGAAATTAATGGGAATTTCAACTTCCCACTAAATATAAGAAGTAAATTATCAAGATCCTCCTTGGTCAATTAAAATTTATAAAAATTCAACTTTTCATTGTCAAAATCAAACAACTTAACAAAATTCCAAGAATTTCATTAAGGCATCCTCTCTGTTTCGTAATAATTGCAACACTTTTTTTGTATATCCGTTTATAATAATTGCTACATTTTCTTTTATGGTAAGGACCCACTATTATTTAATTGATTATCTCTCTTACTACCTCCACTTTTACAAATATTTTAATATTTCTCTTTCCTACCAACCCCACTTAGCCCCTGTTACATCACCTTAAAATAATATTTTTCCGTAAAAATCAATATCTTCAAAGAAGAAATATAACAGAAATTCAGTATAAATAATTTTTGTTCAGTAAAATTAATTTCAGTTAAGTAAAAATAATTTTAGTTCGGTAAAAATAATTTAAGTTTAGCAAAAATAATTTCATTTCAGTAAAAATAATTTCAGTTTAGCAAAAATAAAGTAAAGTGAATAGGCCTTACACTACTTTTTATTAGAGTATTTTTCACTCATACTAACCATACTTTATATTATAAATTTTTTTTCCACTTGTATTATTTTATTAAACTCTATAAGCCTACTATATATTTCTCTTAAACTTTATGCGCTCCATACCATAGTGATTATTACGAAATGAAAAAAGTAATAATTTACCATAAATTATAACTTAAAACAGTAATTTAATTTCCATATCAATCAAACGAGTTTTTGTATACTTTGAAGAGCAAAGATTTAAAGGTATGACATTAGAGAATTAAAAATGCTCCAATTTCTTCAATAAGATATCAAAAACATCCTTAAATACGTCCAAAACTACTTAAAAAGTCATTAAAAAAAAAGTGGACGTTATGCGGGAAGGACTAATTTGATGAGATATCTTTGATTGATAATCCTAGACATATTTTTTTGACGTGACATGCATGCAGTGGCGGACCCACGTGTAGTTATAGTGGGTCCGCGGACCACCTATTATTTTATATATAAAAAAAATATGTATTAAGGATTTAGCTTGCAGCCTAGTGGTTTTTTTTCCCATCCTACCACTCATGAGACGTGGGTTCAAATCCCATTACTCACAATTTTTATTTTTATTTTTTTGCTTTAGAATGAAAACATAAGTCAGAACCCCAATTCCCTCAAATTAAAACCCTAAGTCCCAAACTCACCTAAATCGAAATCCCCAAACTCCAGCAACCCCGTCGCCGTTCACCGCCTCACCGGCCGTTTTTCTTGCTCCTTCTCAACTTCTCACCGTCGCGGCGTCCTATTAGCTTCAGTCCGTCACTCCGTCAGGCGTTGAGGCGTAGCGTGAGAAGACTGAGAACAGAGGCAGCGTGAGACTTAGTTCAGTCCACTGCCCGCAACCGCAGCAAAACCACTGGCCAGCAACCCCGTCGCCGACCTCGCCAGCAACTTCAGTCGCCTGTCCCGGCGTCCCGCAACCGCAGCAAGGCTCTGCTCAGGCGTGAGTGTGAGGTCTTCATTCCGTACTCCGTGAATTCAATTTTGTTTTGAGGTTAGTTTTAAACTTTTAATTTACATAATTACATTGCAAATTGATTAGATTCTATATCAAATCATCAGTTTAAATGTTTAATTATCAAAATTATCAGATTATATGTATATCACGATTCACGAATTTACTGTATGAGTTGTTGTTTTTTTTTTTTGGTGAAATTTCTTGATTTTATTAGAGCTTGATTATTTGTATGACTTTATTAGAGCTTGAATCTTATGACTTGATTATCGTCACTTGATTATCAGTATGATTTTATTAGAGGTTGAATGTTGTGATTTGTGAATGTGAGTTGTGGCCGATATTTGACCATTTGAGCCCTATTATTTTATAGTATTATTTCTGTTTAATTGATAAATGATAATAGTTGTCCAACTTGCTTATTAGTTATTGAGAATGGTGATTGCTAATTTGGAGATTTGGGGTTGAAGGATGGATTGAAATTGAGGTTAATGAGCGTTCTTTTGATAATATTATTAGTTTTAATAATTTTGAGAGAACCCTACCTTCTTGTATGATTTATCTAATTCAACATTTAACTTCAATTTTAGAATGAAAAGAAAAACAACTCGAGATATTTCAAGTTTTTTTACTAAAAAAGTGCGTACTCTAAATCCTCCTCCTCCACAAAATGATACTCCTCCTCCACAAAATGATTTACCCTTTCAAGAAAGTGAACCAAGTTCTCCTTTACATCATGCTAGTGAACAACATTCTTCCCCATCTCACAATTTCCCTCAAAATGAAGATGGGCAATCTTTTCCCCAAGGTGGTTCGGACCCTAGTGCTCAAATTGGTGAAGGAAGGTTAAGTGCACTTGATATTATTAATCAAATTGGTGATGGATGATATTGTAAATCGTTATCAAAATATGAAAACTCGTCGAGAGCAATTGTAATAAAATTAATAATTTTTTAGTTGTAATACGAATTTGCATTACTTTATGAAATGAACTTTTTTATGTAATTTTTTTTTGTTCATTATACAAGCTTTGACTTTTTTTTGATACTTTATGCGGTCGATGGACGATAATGGGACCACCTATTAATCAAATCGTGGATCCGCCACTGCATGCATGCATGATCCTAGATTCCTACTCAATTAGTCAATTGTGAGGTAGTGAGAGAATAGAACTCAACGTGTCAACTTTCAGTTGGACTAATGATACATTATTACTAGAAAAAGGAGTTTGGACTTTGGAGCACAATGAAATTCCATCCTAAATTATGAGCCTTTTCATTACTGTATTTTCAAAGTGTTTCTCGTTAATTACAAGCTTTTCAAAGATAATATCTTCATAAAATTCATATTAGCTTAGTCATATTTCATATATGATCATATTAGTTGTATACTGTTGTATTTTCTAATCAATACCCGTATACGTATATTGAACTTTCTAAATTAATTAGCATATCGCCATGGAGCTTTAATTGTGTACAAAATTTATTAAACGATATTCTTAACCTACATATATAAATAAAGAAATATAGGAAATTATTAGGTATAACTACAAGCGATCCGAGTTGTTATCAGATTTGTAAAGCTCTATAGAAAATTCC